ATTTGCAGCAGGCAAGCACCCCACTCCTCTCCCAGTGCATGCACGGTCCACACAAGACAGCCCTCTGGGCACCTCTTGCTGTGGGCTGGCCACCTGGGCACAGTCCCATCAGCTGTGGTCCCCATGCAGGTAGAGACATGGGAAAGCCTAACAGAGGCTTCTTCGTACTCCTGTGGGACCCAAAGCCTGGGCTCAGTCCCCAGCCATGCTGCTGAATCCCTCCTGGGGACATGTGGCTCTGGGAAAGGTCCTGGGCAGCCACACATACCCCAGGCTCTGCGAGCTGCAGCACCACAGGGACCCATGCAGGTCCTGATGTGGAGGACTTGCGGTCACCATGGCTCCAGCAGGCACACTTAGTCCTGCTCCTCTATGCAAATCCTGTGTCTGCTGCCAGTTTCAGGGGCTCAGTGGCAGCCGACGGGGAGGGTGCACTTTCCGTGCTGGGTGCTGTGCTGTGACGGGGCCAGGGAGTCCTGTTTCCAGTGAGCACAGGAAGTGTGCCAGGGGAGCGGGGCATGCTAGGGTGGCTGGGGTGGCCAGGGAGCACCTGCAAGGCCAGGGTGCTGCTGGTGGGATGCTGGGAGCAGAAAAAGAAAAACAAAAAAATCAATGATAGAGGAAACAGGTTTATCATCTCTCTGCAGAGTGCTGGGGCTCAGCCACAGTGGGTTTCCTGAGCCATGATTAAAAATCTCACTGGGCTCCTCCATACAGCCATCAGCCAAGAGAAAGCCCCATGGTGGGGTTCTGGCAGCACCGCCAGGGTGGATGTGGGGAGCAGGGACTCCCCAGCTTCTGCTTTATCCCCTCCGGCAGGTTTGTGAGCTTGTGTGTGGCTGCAGCCAGCCAGGAGCAGCCATGCGAGATGCTGCGGGTGCAGTCACTGACAAACCCCAGGGCACCCCTGTGACCACAGGGGATCCAAACAGTGCCCAAGGTGGGGGAGAAGGTGGACAAGCTGGGGAAGGGAGGTGACAGAGCTGCACCAGGGGAGGCAGAGCTGGGGTCATGTGTGGGCAGCTGGGTTGGAAGCTGTTGGGAAAGCGCTGGCAGAGCATCCACAGTGGAGAGGCCATACCTCACCTCTCCTCAGTGCCAGCTGCAAGGGCTTGGGAGCAGCTGAACCCCCAGGGATCCTCAAAGGCCTCAGGTTTGAGAGGCCAACAAGGATGGAGCAAGCGTTCTACGTCCTGCCTTGAAGCTTGCCGAGTCCCCAGCTGTGTCACCTGGGATGGCGTTGGGGGGACAGTTTGGGGTGCTCTGAGACAGGACACAGTGCTGACCCAGGCCTGTTGTCAGGGGCCTGTTCCCGGCAGTCAGCTGCCTATGCCTGGCCACCAAGCCCGGCACCCTGCCATCTAGAAAGCCTTCATGTTTGGGCAGCAGGAAATCAACATCCTCTTTTCTGAAAGGTCACCTCAGCAGCAACGCGGCAGAGAAAACCATGAGAGGGGGGAGGCAAAGTCCCAAGCCCCCCAGAATAGCTCTGCAGAGCATCCCTCCCTGTTCCTGGTGGGATCATGAGTGCCCCAGAGAGACAGAGCTGCCATGGCCCTATGGCAGCCCCTGAGGGAGGAAGGACAAGGACTAGGGTGCTTGAATGCTGAACCCCAAACCCTGCCACCCTGGCCATTTCTGCCCAGGCACTTATCTGGCATTGCAGTTATCTTACCCTGCTGCAGGGATCCTGGCACAGCCCTCCATGCCTCTGGGACGTTCAAAGCAGCTGCCAGAAACCACCTGGGGTCAAACTCACACGAAGTCCCAGAGAAAAAGATGCTGAAAGTGGGTTTTTCTCAAAACCTGCCCAAAAGAGGGGTTTGTGAGTCCAAGAAGCTGTTTCAAAGCAGGGGAAGCAGCTGGTGCCCAAGTAAACACTGAAACCAAAACCACTTTACAGACACCTGGGTGAAAAAAAACCTGCCACCCAGCACCAGCATGCCCGGCAGTGCAAGCCACCCTGTGCAACCCTGGCCAGGGTGGGCATGGCCACGCATGGTCCCTCCAGCAGACACTGTCCCCAACAGCACCCCCGGCCCTGTGGACATGGGAACACCGAGCTGAGCAGTGGCAGCAGCAAGCACAGCCTGCTTTTCTGAAACATCCTTCTTGTGACAAGGCTTGTCACTTCTGTACTCGCACGATGAAAAGAGCATCTCTCAGGGCACCTCATGCCATCCCTATTTCCTTTGCACCCTCCTGCTTTCTGCCCGTACCCTGTGCTGAGGGTTTCCCAGCCGCAATGGTCATGCTGTGGGGCCAGGGATATCCTGGCTCTCCCCCTCGCACCCCCAGTGCACAGGTTCAGGTGCTGCAGAGGTGCCAGGACTTTGTACTGCTCTCAGCCTCTGCCACGTTGAAGGGACCAGACACAGGAACCAGGAGGACGCCTGGTGGGAGACTCCAGCAGGCAAAGGCTGCTCCAGAGCCTCTGGAGGCAGATGGGCAGCTTGGAAACAGAAATGAGATGGGCACTGTGTAGGAGGCGACTGGAGCAAACACCCTGTTGGGAAGTGGCACCGGCTCAGCTGCATGACAAGGTGAGGCCACGCGACACAGCCTTGTGTGGCATGGTCCGGGAGCCCCTGTAGGCAGATTCACAGGTTCATGGGGATGCAGCCCAGACCCAGCAAAGCTGTAAGTCTTTGGGGAGACCAAGGCATTGCAACGAGGTGGGGATCCCCTCACAAAAAGCCTACTTCGCCTCCCCAGCTCTGGGCACGGCTCCACACTGTGCAGGCACTGCCATCTACAGGCAGCGGCTCCAGGGCCAGCACCAAGTGTACAGCACAGTGACCCACGAGCAAGCAGCAACCAACCACTACGATCGCCCACACCCAGCAGGGCTGCACCGTGCACCCACTGCTCGCTGCTGTGCGTCAGGGCAGGGAGCCACAGCCCTGCACCCATGGGTGCTCACCCAGCCCAGCCTCAAGCAAGCTGATGGTTAACGTATGGAGAAACCAGCAATGGCTTCTCCTCCTTTGCCCCAAGCAGCCAGCAGCAGGATGGGAACAACCAACCTCAAGCCTGGCTGCTCAGGTCACACAGAGTCCCCAGTAAAGCAAGCCACAGCCTACGCCTCACTCACACAGAGCATCGGCAGCACCTCCTCACTGCAAGGGAGGAAACAGGGCTCCATCTTTTGAATGCAGCAAGAGAATTGCTTATGAAGTGCTCCCTGGAGTCTTCCTTGTCTGCCTCTTTAGGCCAGTGGCATTCACAGCTCTGTACCTAGTTAATACTGACACACACCACGGGGGACATACAGCTCACTCCCACTTTGTTCTGCTTCACATGTGCCCCACATAAACAGCAACACCACAAAGCTGTCTCCATAAAAATCTGCTCACGCACCTGCCTGTCCTAAGGAGGCTGTCAACTCATACCCACATCCAACAGGCAGAGACACATGCAGCAGGGAAAGACACCCCTGCTATCACCGAAGTATAATCTTACTGCCCAAAAATGGCTGAGATCATGTTTTTCACTAGTTCTGCCACCAAGAAGGAGCCCTTATCCCAGCAGGCTTCAGCTATGGGGCCTTCACCCTCTTGTGTCCCTGTAACAAAAGAAAGCATCCCCCAAGATCACAGAAACAAGACACAGGAAACCACACTGCAGAGGGGATTTTTGAGAAGCATTTATTTAACTGCTGACACTGGGGCTGCAGGAGGCAACTGCTCACCAAGCTGCCTTTTTCTGCAAAAATGTCACTCCCCTCCATCACAACAATCTATGTATGGTCAACGTCTGCTCACCTTTCAGCACCTACATGACACAGACCTACATCACTGGGACATTCACCTGTTAGGAACACCACTTAAAAAGATTAATAATAATAATAATAATAATAAAGCAATCAACAAAGTAACACTTGGAGGCATCATGCAGAAACCAGGCGATTTTAGACTACATGGCAGATCAGATTTGCCAGGTTTATTGGTGGACGAGTGCTAACTGCTTCCCTGCCAGTCCAACACGGTGCCAAGCTGGAAAGCTCTCCCAGACAGGACAACAGCTGTTTCCTACCCAGTAACAGGAAACACTTCCAGGTCATAGTTTACACTTCTAGAACTACACAAGATTATGTGCTTGTAAAAGGTGCTGGGGAGTCCTGAAACTTCCTTCTGTGGCACTGCTTCCTACTGAGTGACAGACACTTGAGTGCAGAAGACTGCCTGAGCTGTGGGGTTTCTTTTTTCTCCTTTTTTTTTAAATAAAAACAAAAGCTGACTGGTAAAATGTTATTTTTAGCACATGTGGACAAAAAAAAATTTAAAAAAAATCACATTATACTAGAAATATATAGATGAGAAATCATCATGAGAAATAAGAAGCTATACAGTATTGCCCCATAATGAGTTTTTCTTTACCTACAGTTTCAACTTCCCAAGTGAGGTAGGGAGAGGGTGACCACGGGGAAAAAAGATGATGTTTCCCAAGGATTCCACTGCTTAAAAGTTATCCTTTTGAATCCTTCATGTAAAGTTAAAGTGTTCTTAAGGAAACACTGCCTTTTTTTTTTTTTTTAAACAACAACATTCAAGAGTTTTGGTTTTTTGGTTGTTTTGGGTGGACAAAAAGAGGGAGAAAGAAAACAAGCATCCCAGAGATGAAATGCTGGCAGTTTTGACACATTTCTGTAAGGAAAGTACAATTACAAAAAGAGGGGAAATTATGTAGTGAATCTGCAGATAGAAGGGTGAAATAGAGAGTGCTGACATAGTTTGCACTGTGCCCGCTCCAACAGTGCTTGAATTACACACCCTGTTCACGTGGAAACACATTGACATACACAGCCATCAGGAGAGAGAAAACGGACACTTAAAAACCTGTAATTAAATTTTGTAGGAATCAGTAATATAGAAGCCTCTCATTGCCCCTCCTAGTACTAGACATAATGTATCTTAAGGCATAATTTAACATCCATTTCTTCCTAAAGCAATTTGAAGTGTAACAAGCCAAGATGTCAGACACAGAAACTCAACAACAGCTATTCTGACAGAGGTGAAAGCTATTATATGTACAGTGCAGTATTTACCTTCAAACAGGGGAGTCTTGTCTTTAAAAAAAAATAGTAACTGCAGACCCAGATTCTAAAAAAAGCAAACGTTGCCAACACAAGGAATGTTCATTAGAGTCCAGTTCCCACTAGAGCTACTTAACAAGAGGACGTACGATGTGATTATGCTAAACCGCACTGATTGACTGTTCCCAGAGTGTGCCCCCAGGAGGGGGGCAGAACCCTGGGAGGCCAAACTCTGCAATACCCTAGTGCAAACTGCCTCAGAGGAAAAGCCTGTAGTCAACAAGCCTTTACACCTGTTGTTAGGCTTCACTAAGAGATGTAGTAGTCAGGTGTCACCTAACAATTTCAGGACACTCCCGTAAAGGTGATAGTCCTGTGTGGATTCTAATGCACATCCCCCGTGAACAGTGTCCTGCACACATACACCTGCCAGGCTACCGGCTTTCCCTCTTACATGACTGCAACCGGCTCACAGCCACCAGAATCTCACATAAACGATCAACATGATAAAAAACACAGCTACAGCCGCAAGTTTGGCGTAAGTGGAGCGCATGTTCAGGTACTTCGCATCTTGACGGTACTTCTTAGACAAACTGGACAAGTTGTTGGCCTTGGAATCAAGAGCTGTTTAAGGGAAAGGCGGAAAAAAGTTTATCAAGATTAACCCAACCAGATGTTCCCCAAATGTTACATTAACTATACAAGTTTCTCTGGAGCAACTGGAAGCACAGCAGTTTCACACGGCAGCATGCCCTGTGGCTACCTGTAGTGCTCTAGTGCTTGCCCTGCTGGAGTGACAGCCACCCAAGCTGGTGAGATGCTGATCTCGCCCAAAAGAAGCGCCAGTACCTGCTAGGTGCTGCAGGATGCAACCGGTCCAACTGAAACACTCAAGTCCATTGCTTTTCTCGGGAGGCTCAGGGATTAGTAAAAGCCTTTCCTCTGGTATGCTCTACCCACCCACCTGACCGAGGGAAAAAGGAACCATATGTCAAATATCAGCCATTCCCTGTACCTGAAAGTGCCTCTCCTCGCTGTAAGACCTCCTCAATGTTGGCCACCATAATCCTCTGCACATCTTGCAGCTCTGTGTTGATGGAGCCCAGATTCCTCCTTGCCCGGCTATCAATGTAGAGCTTCTTGGTTTTCTGGATGTAGGTATCTGGAACAAGATGTGGCTATCAGAGGGGGTCTCACCTAACACAGAGCAGCCCGGCTGCTGAAGGAGTGGGACCTTTGCTGAGACAGCCAGCAGGCTACATGCAAATATTCACTGGAGCAAGACCAAGAGACTTAAAGTAGGAAATCTGAATCAAAGGACATTTACCATTTCCCTCCCACTTCTCTACTTACAAATATTCCTTCCTCAAAACACCCATTTCTCTACTGCCAAGAAGAGGCTGAACTGTCAATTCCATAGGCCAAGCTGGAGAGCATCCTGTGGCTGTTGCCCCTCGCCAGCAAGAGTTCCCTAACTAGTCACAAGGAGAGGGACCTCACCAAATTCAATGAAGGAATAGGGCCTGGAGACCGTTGGCACCTTCTTGCCATGCTGCTCATCGAACTCTGAATGCAAGTCTTCCAGATACGCAAACGCCAGTTTCTTGGGGAATGCAGCTTCACACAGGACCAGGTAACACACTCCTTTCTCAATGATGTAGCTAGAAGAGCAGCAGACATGGCATTAGTCAATCAATTTTGAACCCATCCTATCAAACACCATCCTGCGTACCTCCTCCCACCACTCCATCCCCATTGCACCTAATTCGTATTTGTTCCCAGAGCTTTAGTGCTGACCTCGTCCCAGTGTGAGCTCCAGCGCCTCCGACAGCACTGAGAACAGGGGCCTTTCATTATCACTCAACTAAAAAGCCTACTGAAATAAGGGATAAGATAGAACCAATCTAGAGATTATTTAGGTTATTTAGGCTTTGCTACAACCGTCTGCTGCTACACATTCCCAGCTACATTTTTTCTCCTCATTTACACAACAGAAAAATAAAAGCAACAATATTTCCACCAAAACCAAGGCAGCGGAGATTGCAGACAGTCCTGCATCTGCTTTTGAATGCTTATCTATATAATTCAGAGTGGAATTTAAATGCTACTATTATGTTACCTTCCTTTGACTTTCTGCATAATGGCATTATGTAGCAGTCTAGGCAGCATAAAGATTAACAGTGTATTAAAGAACTGACCCAGTCATGAGGGGACTGTAGTTAAGTAGCTTAAAATTTTGTTAATAGTGGGATCAGGCTTACAAAACAACTTCCCCTTCACACTGTTTTTCCAGATACCCCAAGATGTGCAAGTCCTTTGAATTAACTACCCTCAACTTGTTTCTGGGCTCAGGAGTATCCATTTCTCCTGTATCTACATGGCCCACGTGCAAATCCTGCCAGCCTTCAAACAACAATGGCCCAGCCCAACCAGAAGCAAGAAACTCCAGTTACTGTAATCTATTCTACAAGTGTGTCCCCACAAGCCTACGCTTTTATTCCTTTCTACATCCCTCAGCTTGGACTGCTTTAGTGTGCAAGACTAACCCTCCAGCACATCGTTCCTCTCCTCATCCTTGGAGACCTGCTTGACAACTTGGAGTTACTGCAAAACAGAGCTTGATTTTGCCACTACCATGAACAGCAGTATTCAAAAGTCTTTTGAAATAAGCAAAACTCGTGTCAGATAGGAATATTGACAGGATTCTCTAAAAGCCAGAGCAGCAAACTCAAGATGAGAGCAGGCTGAGGAACACTCCCCATTGGTACAGCCCTGTTATCTCTGCCCAGGCCAGCTGGTCCTGCCTGGAGCTCTTCAGCAGTATTCCCTACTTGCTTTCCCCCTGATGTGATAGTAGATGTGTTGGATTTAAAGCTGATCTGCCAGCACCACAGAGAGCAAGTTCATTGTGTCCCAGATTCAGACATTTTTTTCAACCTTAGTTCAACATCAGAGCAGAGATCCTGCACAGCTGGGCTTCTCAGTTTTACACTCTGTGTGTGCCTCCGAGCTTCAGCTCAGTGCTGGATCACGCCAACTGCTTGGCAGCGAATGCACGCAACGGGCAGATGTTGCCGTTTGCCACTGCTAACTTCTGTACTCCAGATTCCTGCTTGCTGCATAGAGCCAGGATGTTTTTTATGGTTAACTTGGATAATTTTGAGAGATAAAAGCTTTATCCTGGTAACAGTGGCAGAGGCCAAGGGTTGTTTTCAACACGACAGGCAATAGCCACTTCGGCCATTCATCAGCCAAAGGTCAGCTGCTGACTGATAGCACAGCAGGCTCCATCTCTGTTTCTGTACCTGCACTGTCATGCACACTGAGTGCTGTAGCTGAAAGGGTGACACAGCTTTTGGAGCTGAGGTCTAAACATTACATTTGACAGAAATCACCTCAGCGGTCATAGTTTAAGCTTCACATTTCAGCAAGACTAGGCTGTTTTCTAAACTGATGAAGCTAAAAACATTCACCACCACCTCAGCAGTTTCAGCAGTATCCCTAGCCACACTCGCACCACAAAACGTTCTACCCTGGTTTCTGCTGCCCTCAGCAGTCAGAGCTCTGATGTGGCCAAAAAAAAAGCGTGCTGCATCAATGAACAGCATGGTCATCAGCCAGCATTATTTCAGACTAAACCTCAAGCTCCCTCATGTCCTCCCCTTCCTGCACTGTTAGCACAAGAGGTTTTCTGATCTGAAAGTATTCTTTCCACGCAGGTCCTCCCTTAGTGTCCCACCTTAAAGGGGGCAGCAGGTGAGCGCTTCGCAGCAGCGGCTGTCAATGGCCTGTGGAACCTGTCTAGGGACTGACTCAACACCGAAGGGGAAACGCTCCTTTCCCTGCCTGTCTGCCAGCCAGGTAATATGGCTGTTTCTTTGAGGCAGCTGTTGAATGTGAGCTTGCCCAGGTCCTCCTGCCTTGTCAGAACTGGTGACATTACAGCCACAGTTAAGAGGCTTCAATGTCCTGGGGACTGCAAGCAATGCAGCCTTCCAGCCATCACTCTGCTTGCGTCATAGAGGCACCATAAGAAGGGATTTACTAGGATCTACACAGGCTCTTTCCCAAGGTTTCACTCCCAGTTGGAGCTACGCCCATGCAGTGCCATGAAAACGTTTAAAATGAGAGAGTTGTAAAATCCTATAGAGTTTTTAACTTGCACAACCAAGATGAGGCAGAGCAGTACTTTGCAGATAACTCTGGCAACGACACCCAAACCTGACAGGAGATAGGGAAGGCCGGACTATTTTAATCAGGGCCATATCCTCTGACCATTGTAACTCCCTGTCAAAGACAATCAAAAGCCAAGAGAAAAAAAGTCAAAAAAATCTTATCATATGTAAGCCAACCACAAGAAAAGTTGCCTTCAGAATCTCATGTCCTTCCAAAAAACTCGTGTTCCTGTCTTGTCATGTTGCTCAATCTCTGAAGAAAGGGACAGAGCAGGAGATTTGCTAAAGGGCCCTTGTTATAGAAGCAGAGGCCTAAAGCCATCCTTGCCCTGCATTCAAAGGATGTTCTTCCACTCACTCAGCTCTAAACATGCACCCAGTCACCAGGGCTGGGGAATGGAAAGGGATCCCGCTGCTGGCAGCACAGCACAAGTGGTGTCAAGCATGGGAAACATTGGCACATCACTGGCAAAGCTGCACAACTTTGCCCTGGTGATCTCACATGGCACCTGATCTCAGAGACTTCTAACATAATTATTTCTGCTAACAGCATAATCTTGATTCTTGACAACATCTTGGGCTTGATTAAGTTCTCAAACATTATTCTGCTATGTAATTATATGCCACGTAAAGAAGGATTTTCTTTCTCAAATATAAGCTTGAACTCCTGCCTTTCACTGTCTGCCAATTCCTCCTCTGCTTACTCGCCTTCCCAGTCTCCTTGCTATTGATTAGGGAGTAAGGGCATCTGACCCACATTATCTGTAAGTTTTCATTATTATATACTCAAGTTCCCCTGTTAGTGGAGAAAGTCAAAAGTGCTTTTAAGTTGAGAGTTTCTCAACATCTTAAGAAATTAATTAAACACATTCAACACATTTGGGAATGAGATTGAATCTACAAGAAGAGAGAGAAAAGTTTGTCAGGTGTTAAGAAGTCCTAAAAACAGAAAATCAGGAGATATTCCATGTGCTTCTAACACATGAAGCTAATGCATAAAAAGGTACACTCTCACAGGATAAGCAGAGACAAAAATCTTCTGCAAGGGGAGTTCACAGCAGTACTGCTAAACTGTTTTTACCAAGAACATATCTTTTTCATAAAGACAAGACACAGGAGATACCTTAGAGGGTGCAAACAAACAGAAAAATCTTAAAGGGAACAGAACCTACGCTGTTCTCAGCAAGCACAGGACTATGAACCTGGCTGAAGTGCCAAAAAGTAACAACTCACAGACCCTCTCCTTGGAGCAGCCATTACCCTTCAGCTAGCAGGGTAGATAAATTGGTAATTCATCCTCTCCCAGGTAGCCCAATTCCTAACAAATCCTCACCCTGACCCACAAGTGCCTTCACTATTTCCACAGCAGCATAAGCCCGCTCCCCCATCACAGCTACAGCTACTCACTGGAAAGCCATGGCTCCTGCTTCGAGAGTACATCTGGTGGGGGACTGCTCATTCAGCTTGCGGAAGAGCTGCTTTGCTTGACTCTGGTACTGCTGTAGATCACGGCCTGACTGAGAAGGGAGAATGGGGCTGTTGAAGGCAGCTGTTACCGGAAAAACACCACCCGCCCGAGATCTCTGAGGGGGGCCAGGGCTCAGCCCGAGAAGGAGGCGCCGCCTTCAGCAGCACAGAGGCGGCTTTCTCCTCTCCCACCCACGACCACCGGGCGGGAAACGCTTCTGCAAGAGCTCCCCGTCTTGTGAGAAGAGGCTGACGGGTCCGACTGGGCCGCCACCCGCCCGCTTCCCACTGACACACCGAGCCAGAC